TCATTAATTATAAAATTATATAAGGATTCTATTTATTTTTATTTATTTCTTATTATTTTATTATTATCCATTCTTTTTTTCATTCTTTATAAATAATATAACATATTTCAACATTTTTAATTTAATATTGATTCCAACTATTCTTATTATTTGTTTTCTCATTATTATCTTTTTTAAGTAAATATTGTTATGATGAAAATAAAGTAAATCAAATGAAGTTTATATCACATTTTATTATTTGTTGTATACTTTCCATTGTTTCATACTATTTTATTTATTTCTCTATTATCTTAATTATTTCAACTATTTTCTTTATTTTACCTTTCTTTTTATTCATTTATTTTCTTGTTATATATTCTTCATTTTTTCTATTACAATAGTTATATTTGTTTAATTTTATTTATTTATAACTTCGTTCTTATTTGTTTGATCATATCTATTATTTTATCATTCCAATTTTGTTATATTATCATATTCTTTGTTTTCATTTTAAATAAAATTTCAAATACTTTTTAATTTTGTAATATTTGTTGTTTCTATTTTTCTCTTTATGTTTCTCATAATACTTTCATATCAAATATTTATTATTTATATATTCATTCCTCTTCATTATCATAGATTTTTAGTTTTGTATCAATAATAATGAAACAATAAGAAAGATAAAAGAATAATAAATAATATAAAAGATATAAAAGTAATGTGAAATAGCTAATGAAGTAGTGATGAAAATATAAAGATATAGAAAAACAAATGCATCTGATGAACAATATTTAAGAGAATAAAATAAATTCAAAAAAGAACAAAAATAAATAGAAAAAACAATAAACTGAAATTAAATTTATTTATTTTTAATTTCTCAACTAATAATTCAAAAATAATGATAAAATAAAACATAATAATTTTAATTTAATAACAATAAAACTATTCTATTTTTAATTCAAAATGTAAAAATAAGAAATAAGAAATAATTAATAGTTTATGAACAAATAAAACAAAAGTAAAATTAATAGTTTTAATTTAAAGATATAACTTAAAAATAATAACACAATGGAAAACCAAGAAATAAGTAAAACACTGCACTAGCAATTTTAGAGTTTATTTATTTAGAAAAATTTAAGACAATGATAGAAAAGATAATGGAAGACCATGAATTAAGAATTTGTGATTTAGAGACTAACTTAGAAATGGTATTAACAAAAAACAAAACGATACAAGAGATTTCTAAAGTTATTCATGGTAGTGAAGAAGATATTCATGAACAATTAAGAAGAATAAAATGAGAAAATGAGAGAACAAGCAAAGAACTTAAGTGCATGAAATTGAAATAGACAACAATGCATTAGATATAGAAGTACAGAGGTATTTAATAGAGAAAATTATGAAAAAAAAAATGGATAATAATACAACTAATGAAGAAATTGTAAAAGAAATGATACAAGAAGAATTTAAAAAGAAATATCTTCAGAAGAGAAAAGATGAAATAGAAAAGAGCAAGAACGAAAACATCAATAAAACAAAAGACGCTCCAACAAAACAAACAGATTATATTCTAACAAAACAAACAAGCAATACCATAATAAACAATCTAATGAATAACACAACTGTTTCTCCAGATGAATTATTCAATCCTACGACTCAAATCAAAGAAATAGAAGAAGGACTAGAAGAAAAATAGGGAATATAATATTTGATTCAGATATTGATAATTGGAATAAGAATACATCAGTATTTGAACAAAGAATAATAAATAAAGAACATATAATAATTATTATTGAAGATATAAATGGAAATAAATTTGGAGGATATGTTAATGTGAAAATTGATAAAGTTGTTATATAAATGATCCAAAATCATTTTTATTTTCATTAGAATCAAAAGGAAGAATACAAGGAATGAATAAATTCGATATTAAAGATTCACAATCTGCATTTTATTTATA